CTGCTTCCACCCCATGGCCCTCCCTCCCACTGTGCTGGCCTCAGGAAGTTTCCTTATTTGGGGAAGAAGGCAGCCCACCCCCTACCCCACTCCTCACCGTGCTCTCACCAAGGCTGGTGCTCTCTATGCCCCACAGAGTCTGGAAAGCCATCCCTTTTCAGTTATGTCTCTTCTGAGATGGACTTGCTTCCATTAAATACTAGGTGAGGATGTAATGTGGGATGCCCTGGGTAAGAGAACCAAAATAAGTAGTTTCTTCTGTGAGATTTTCTATTTATCTGCTGGGACAGGGCTGTGTGTAGTTTGCTACAGCTATTGGTGTGAGAGGCTAAAGCCACCTGTGTGTCCTTGTTTTCATCTCCCGGCTGTCTTTGGGTTTTCCCTAGACACTTCTGAGACGTTTACTTCTTTTAGTTTTATTCCTGTTATTACACAGAGTCCCTACTGACATGGAGGTAAGGCGATGGGGTGGTGGGACGGAAGGGAGCATTTGCAGTCCTGTGATTAGTTCTCATTGAGCCTGTGCCCTGAGCTGTGACCTCCACAATTGTGTCTCTTTCCCCTAGCCAAATTTGGGTGAGACAGAAGGGATTTCCCTTCCCCCAGGTTGGTTAGTCTCTGGTGAAATAATTTCTCATTATAAAAACAAACATACAAAAAACAACTTCCCACAATGAAACAGAATATTATGGGTGTATTTCAATAGAGTTACTTTCTCCTTTCCAGACAGGAAGCATGAGGAGTTATCCTCTGAACTTCATTCTGAGAACAGGGCACAGTCCTGGAGGTAAACTGCATGAAAAAGAACATGGGGCCCATCTGACTGGCCCTTTGGAGTGGTCACACTCAGACTTCTCCACTCTGAGCATCCCGCTGGCCTCAGGGACCTGTTAAATCTGCCTGCCCCCGGGGTTCTTACAAAAGCGGGTTCTGCCCTGGGAGCTGTGACTCTCCAAGCCTGCCCGGCTGCCTCTCTGGGTTGGGAGCAGCTTTTCCCATCAATTTTCAGGGATCTAAGAAACGCAGTGGAATTGCAGCTCCCTCAGATCTGGTGTTGTTTTCA